TGACCCACAGCTCCTCCACCCTCATCCCACGGGAGGACAGCACACTCTCTTACGACAACCTCGCACCCCTGCTGATTGTGTGACACCCGCACCAATGGCTTCTGACAGGAATGGGGTATAAATGGCCTCTAAGTCAATCGCTAGGTCACTGTCTTCGGGGGATGTCATCTCTCACACACACACACACACACACACACACACACACACACACACACACACACACACACACACACACACACACACACACACACACGCCAACTAAAGACAAGTAAGTTCTTTGTTTCGGAAAGTAACGTTTCAGTCATGTACAGTACAGCGAGTCATTCCCAATTAATTGTCAAAGGAATAGAAAGTGTGGGTCATGCTTAGGGTTGCAAAGAGGCGGAACATTTCCGGTAAGTTTCCGGTACATTTCCATGGGATGTTAAGCTGGGGAATTTTGGAAATATTCCATATTGGAAACTTTGTGGTGTGGTCCAGTCTTCTAGAAATCATCTGTGCATGTGATGGAGGAATGCACAGTGCCTGTAGGTGGTGTGGTCTCAATAGCCATGCAGTAAGCAGTGTGCTATGTGCATGTGATTGAGGAATGGCATGGATATTCAAGTGTACTTGAATGGCATCTGTTTGTTTTAGTCAAGATTATTAGCATAATCTTGACTAAAACAAACAGATGCCATTCAAGTACACTTGAATATCCATGCCATTCCTCAATCACATGCACATAGCACACTGCTTACTGCATGGCTANGTGTGTGTGTGTGTGTGTGTGTGTGTGTGTGTGTGTGTGTGTGTGTGTGTGTGTGTGTGTGTGTGTGTGTGTACACATGTTAAAGGATATCCACCAGACAATACAGGAGTCAGTGAAGGCCATCACTATTTCACACAACAGTGTAGGTCGGATGTTGTCGCCTCCATCCTGGAGAAATACAGGTTACACATGCGAACACAAAAAAGCACATGCACACACACACACATTTTTTGTGACTTACAGCGTTGACTTTTAGGATCCCCCCAATGATAGAGACGATCAGGTAGAGCATACCGACCGCGACAACTCTGTGGAGCAACGCCCCGAGTCTGGGCCTGGTGATACAAAATACACAATATTAGGTTCAAGTTAATATTATTGCTTTTAACTAACCTAATACAGTTATGTGAAATTCATTGATATAATACATTCGATTAAAGTAATGTTTCTGTGTTTTCAGTGTGCCATTTGTGCCCGATAAAATAATGTAGTATTTTTGTTTATTCAACATGAAGCATCCCCTGCCACGTTGCAATATATGGATAACCTGACCGAGATTAATAATTGATTAATAATTGATTATTAATCATGGGGGGATGTCTCCTTAACTGCCATGTTTAACGTCCGTTAAAATTTGGATGGATTTGGCTCATCGTCATTTTGGATTCTACTACTTGAGTGACACCAATTTTTGAAACTATGTATTCATAGTTCCCTTCATAGCTATCATTTTAAGTGTAGACATTACTTTAGGTGAAATTAAACTCCTTCAGCTTACTTGACGATGCCATATCCCAGACTGGCGATGATCACCAGAATTCTGGCCAGAGTCCTCTTCACGGCGGAGAGCACCACAGCAAACACCACTGCCCCCTGGACTGCAGGAGGACATATCACAACGTGTTAACAATCCAAGCCCTGCGTTACAAATGTTCACTTCAATCACTCCAATGAAACGGTTAATTTCTTCTCCTACAGTGAAAAACTGAAACGTTGACTTTAAAAAAGGCATTATGTCAACAATTTAGGTTAGTTAAAAGCAATAATATCAAGTTAAAGCTAATATTTTTTTAAACGTAATATTATTGCTATCAACTAGCCTAATACAGAGTTTTGAAATCTGTTGACATAATACATTTAATTAAAGTAAACGTTTCTGTTTTTCAGTGTACCTGACAAGCCATTGTATCTGATGTTCTGTAGCTCAGCGTAGTAGACGGCTTTCTCCACCATGCCCAGGAAGATGACTCCTCCGATCCAGAACTGAATCCTGAGCAGATCCCTCCAGTAACACGCCGACAGAATCAACCACAGCACCGCCAGCAGCACGTACACGATACACATCACCATGAGGAACTGGAGAATAACAGGGAGAAAAAACTTCTGACTTGTGGAAAACTTGTGCAAGAAATGCAAATTGACAAAAATAATAGATTTTTAATGGTTTGAACTTTGACCTGCTCGTATATGGAGGTATTAAAGTGTGATTAGCAATGATCATTTTTAACTGTGTGGCCTAACGTCCAAAACAGTGCCTGCATTTTTGTTAAATGCTCCTTTAAGTAAAAAATGTGCAAATGTGTAAGCTATGACCAGAATTTTAATTCCACATTCACAAAATGTCTAAGATTATGATAAGAATGTGAAGAGGTGATGCTAACCATGGCCTATCCTCTCTTGTAACACACATGTTCCTATATAGAGGCAACAGTGAGACACTGTAGCGTCAGCCTGCCGTCAGAATATCAAAAGGTACACCAATCGTAGAGCATAAATCGGGCGATGTTCTTTTCTACGGTGTTACTCCTGTTTGAGAAAAATACACTGACCAGCTATTTTCATACATTTCTGAGACTCGCAAAATAAATGTTCAACAGATTTACATCTTCATTAGGAACCAATGGTCCTGAAGCAGGCCACAAACAGGAAGTGAGAAAATACTGAGAGGCTTACTACACTGTCTGTCTGTCTGTCTGTCTGTCTGTCTGTCTGTCTGTCTGTTCTTACCACCATCATAGGCCACTCAGTTGCTGAAATGTAGTCATGCGACCCCTTCATGCTGATCTCCACTGCAAACACAAACAAAGAGTTCATCAGATCCACAGCTCACTACATTAGTTTAACACTTTACATCAGTGGTTCTCAACTGGTGGGTCGCGACCCACCCGTTTCGAGTGGGTCGCGGATGTGTGAGTGAAGAAAAAAAATTGAAAAAAGAAAATTGAAACTTCTTTTTTTTCTTTTTTGGGGAAAAAGTCAAACTTTTATTTTGAAGGCCCGATTTTCTAACGCTGTACATGCAGTAGGCGTTGGACTGGAAGTACCGGAGACCATAAACGGTTTTGAAAACTTCTGTTGTAGTGATAATCCTCTCAATAAAACATCTTTGCTGATGTCGACCCTTACCCACAATTTAAAGTAATTCACACAGACTCCTCTTTGCTCTTCTCTCTGTGAGGAGCAGCAAGCTGTCAGAACAAAGTGAAAAACAAACAATGGCATAAATTATTATTAATATGTCGAGTAGTAATAGATTTATTTATTTTCTTCTCAGAGTGTACCAGAATGCGTAGTTTATATGTAAGTATTTCTAAAAAATCTCCTGGGGGAGAATCCCCCCAGACCCCCTACTGGGGATGGGTTTTTAGCATGTGTGCCTTTTTATGTTACACAGTTCAGCTTTGATTCCATCATCTCATTAAACCTTTTTTTAAAGCATTCTTTAGTTCATTGAAGGGATATAAGGGATATATGGACTGTACTTCACTTTAATTAATAATGTATGCTGAAAAGCGTATATTACAGCACGATGTTGGGTCGCGATTTATTGACAAAGTAAAAAGTGGGTCCCGAGGCCTTACCAGTTGAGAACCACTGCTTTAGATCAGCTAATCACACCAAAACACACCTTAAAAATGGACGGTTCAACCTAAACAAAAATAATACATGTTTTTTCCTCTAGCCTTTAGTAGTGTTGTCACGGTACCAAAAAACTATGACTTTGATACAAAGCCTGCCTAAAGTACCTCAACACTGACATTATACTACGAAAAAAAACTAAAACAAGAGGATGGAACTTACTTAAAGGCTTAACTAAATGTTTTTAAAATAAAAATACCCACTGAAAATACTAAGACAATAATTATACTCTTAATTAAGATCAGGGATGTCACAATAGCAGAAATTAAGCAGTCAATACCAGTGACATTCCAGGATCCTTAATACAATTATCATTATATATACATAACCCCAATTTGATACTACAGTGAAAAACTAAATAATACATCTCTGTGTGTGTGTGTGTGTGTGTGTGTGTGTGTGTGTGTGTGTGTGTGTGTGTGTGTGTGTGTGTGTGTGTGTGTGTGTGTGTGTGTGTGTGTGTGTCACTGACGCTGTAATTTCCAGGGTTCGAGGGTGTTAGCGGTGTCCGGGGCCCGGGCATTGTCTTTGATTTCTTTGATTTTAAGGATGAACATGTAGGGTCCGTCCTCCCAGGTCTCAGCCACCGCACTGAATTGAGCTGCATCCTGAAAAACAAAGATAGAGGAGTATTCAAAGTTAAATAAAGTTATCGTCTCTTTATGACTGCAGCAGAAAAGATGGAGCTAAGGACGTAGCTTTCCTTTACATGACTTTGGGAGGGAAACATATGAAGTGGGGATGTCTGGGGAAGCTCCCATAAAGAAATGTTAGAGTCAAATATAAAATGTTATGCAAAACTCAAATTATAAAGGTCTTTATCTGAAAGAAAACACAATATTGAGTATAACATGTGACAACCAGGCTTTTGGGTTTGCTAACATATTAAAAAATATAAAAAATCTGTTGCATGCGATTTTGAAATGAAAAGCCTTTGAATTTCCATTGAACTCATAGTTCAAAACAATGAGTTCAATGCTCATGAATTCAGAAGGGAAAACTTCACATTTAAAAAAAATGTTCTTATTCTCCTCACTGTGTCAACACCTTTATATATACAGTCTATGGTCAACACACATGTATTGATTGACTTAAAAGTTCAAATGTGTTTCAACAAGATTTCTTCTAATTTTGAGGGAAATAAAAATAATTAATACTACATAAATACAATTGTGATTTAATCAGAATAAAGTCATACTATATCAGAGAACTAAGTCATAATATAGTGAAAAATGTGTGAATATAAAAAGGCAGAAATCCCGCCATTTTGTGACTTATTGTCCACACTGTGAACATCACCACCTCCGGTAAAGTGAAGCTCACAGCTACGTCCCTCAGCTTTTCGGGGGTAAGTATTATTAAGCAGGGAGACTATTCCAAACAAAAACCTATGAGTAAATGCTAATTCCTTCATCTATGAAATGGAGCCACCTTTGCTATTAACAGCTTAATTCTTAAAATAACGTCAATTGAAATACTACTGGTTGGAAAATGTCCCTTCTGCTCCCCTGGTAGACCCCCACAAATAACATTGCTGGTTAGTGTCCTGTCTCTGCAGGATAAATAATGTTCTGTAACACAAAACCTGGTATCACCCAGCATTAAAACCAGCACGGCACGCTCCCAAGTCACAGGCTTCTCCCACAGGCGGCCTGATAAACAGGTTAACCTCACCCAGCAGGACAGGAGCAGACTAACCTCTTTAGGAGAGACTACAGCCTTTCCTGTGACATTTGAAGCATTCTGCTTCTGTTCTGCAGCAGCCTGAGGAACAAAGAACAATAGGATCAGTGAATTAACTCAAACATGCAACTTTTAAAAGCTCAAAACCTAAAATAAATTTAAAAAAAGGTTTTACGTCACAAAATGCCTTAATCTACATATTATCAGGGAAAGATAATACCCTAATCATTTAAATAGGCTATACAAGTGTTTATACTGAGTAGTTTATTTAGTTTATAAATGTCTCTTTCATAATGTAATTCAACAGGAAAACGTTGAATGTGTTTCGGACAGTCCGAACTTCCACTTTCTTTCAAAGTGTTCATCAAACATACTTTCTCTTTCACTACGTTTCTCTTTATGATATATCTGTTAAATTAATGTTCTACTGGAGTTCTAATGTTGGTTCTGCTACATTTTCTGTTATGTGTTCTACTCTATGAACTTAAATTAACAGCATGAACTGCACAAACTACACGTTCTAATGTTTTTACTGTTCTGCTACAGTAAACATATGTTGTATTTTCTTTACTGAGTATTCTACGTGTTGTTCTGCTGTGTGAGAGAGTTGATGTGCACACCTTCGGTTTTATACGAAAATAAACATTTGGAATGGTCTGTCAAGTTAATAAACATTTTGAACAAAGGCAAGACTAACATTTATACTTTTTGAAAATGAACTAAAAAATGAATTCAAATAAATAATAATAAAAAAACACAGAACAATAAAGTTAAGGTGAGTTATATTTAGCTAATTATTGGAGCTGAAATATTTATTTTCTAATGATTATACTGTGACAATTTCGTTAAATGCCAGTTCAATACAGTGTGCACAAATACTCTTCACTGTTCTAACCATGACTGTGGAATCTGTGGATCTTTATCACCCCCTGGTGGTCAGCACCATATAAATCGTTCATATGTCAATCAGATGGGACATGAGCCAAACTAAACAGTCCAAGTACTTTTCAAACAGATTTTTCACAGTGCAGCCGTCTATGCTAATAAATGAACTGTGACAGGAATGAGGATGTCTGTTTGTGTATTAAACACGTTGCATATTTATTTAAGCGTTAATAGTTCAGGTGCCTGAAGCAGCCTAAAAGGTGCGGCGCCCTCTAAACAAAGACTTCTTTTTAAAACAACGCTGGGGCATAAATATTGAACAAAGCTTTGACTTTATTGAGGTTATAAACTATTAAATTTAATAAAGCTTTGCACCTATGATACGTTGACTGAGCACATCCTGAAAGAGCAATGCGCTAGTAATATTTATTTATTATCTACTTCAAAGTGAAAAAAAGGATAAGGCAGGGTATGCTTAAGGGTGGGGCTACCTTGTGATGGACAGCTGTCAAGAATCTGTCCGATTTGAGTGCACTCCTTCTGTCATAGAACTTTAACCATTTCTCTGTGTTCTCAGTTCAACAGTAAATTGTAGTATTTGAATGGCTAAATATGTATAATTCGCTGCTCTGTTGTACTTAGCTTAACCCTACCATGTCATGTCTGCTTGCAAAATTACAAGATGGAGACTTGCCAAATTTAAGGTTACAAAGCTGTAGTCCAAAAAACAATAGGTGATGTTGTGAAAGCCTAATCCAGCTCCGAATGGCCTTTGTAGCCAAACAGCTACCATGTTGCTAAAGTAGCAGCTAGGTTGCTCACACTATAAAGCTGTGGCCTATTTGGCTTGTGATTGGGTCATGGGGTTTCACTAATGCTCAAACTGTTGTTCCAAATGACAATAAAATCTTTAACTGGCATGTCATGTATCTAGCCTATTTTGGCTTCACTTTTTAACAGTGGGAGGAAGTGGAGATGCGATGCAAGACATTTTGTTTTAGCAAATGCTTACTATTTTTAAACCACCCCATGCAGTGTGACAACAAAAAGTGAAGTTGTAGCAGGGCGGGGGGGAAATAAAAACAAAAATACAGAAATAGGACTAGGACTCTTTCCGGTCAACCAATCAATTAAATTAATAAAATTATGTTTTGTTATTGACATATTTGCTTCTTGGTTTTAGTTGTTTGGTAATAGGACTGTGTTATCTTGCTTTGGTATGTATCGATTATAATGTTGGGCAAATACAGACAATTTAATTTGATGAAAACAAATTGATGAATTAGTTGATTTTGTACCATCTCTATAGGTCACCAAGCTATCCCTCCATCTGTTTATTTAAACTAACCTTTTTATTTTTGACAGATAAATGTTTTATATATTCTTCTGTCTGGCGCCGAAATGTAATTGTATACTTTTGGGATAAATCCTATGCTACAAAGTGAGCGCAGCAAAATACAATCATATCTGACAGACAAAAAGTGTGGAGAGGATCAGATCTGTGAGCAGTTAATATCATAGAATAGGCATGCAGTGTTTGGAAAGGCACTAAAAACACCTGCAGACTCGCGAATGACAAGAAGCAATGATGGATTTCCCCTTTGAGAACATTGCATTTGTATAGTTTGCATTACAACTGCTTAAAGTCCAACACTAGATTTTGATTGTGCTGCGTTTTTCTTGTGCTGCTCCTGTGGAGACGGGTAGGGAGACAGAAAGGGTCTCACCTGCTGAGGGATTTCTTCTAGTCGTGTTTTCGTTCCAAATGTATCAAGGTGAAACTGTGTCATAAAACAAACACACCCATATTAAAACATAGCCCCCACATACACTCACTTGATTATTCATCTGCCATGTGTGTCAATGTATTAAATGTGTGTGTATCACCATATGGTGCTTGCAGGTGATGCCAGGATATTGATGAAAAACATAATATCCATTTCCGCCTCCTCGCTTGACCTCCGTCGACATGAAGTATTTTTCTGCCTTTGACGCCTGGAGACGAACAATCAATCAAACAAATAGGTTGTTAGAGGTGCTATTCAGTCAGTACTGTACAGTATAGTACAGTAGAGTTTAGCAGAGAAGAGTAAAGCAGTGGTTCACAACCTTTTTTGTCTCGTGTATCCCTTGAGCTGATCGCCATTCTATAAGAACCCCCCTCCCCACTCATCTGTGACGATTTGCCAATATTCTTTTTTTTATTAAAAATGTTAACTCACCCTTAATAAAGTTGTCAAGTTAAATGCATTTAAATTTGACATTGACACTTATTAACAGTGAAAAGGAATAATATTAAGACTCATTTCTAGCAGTGTTAACATCTTTTGTTAAGACTAGATCTTTTAATGACACGCTTGCTTGTCTTTCATTAGCTTTGATAGTTCTGGGGGCAGGACACCAGAACTATCAAAATGTATTTAAAAATATTTTTTTGTGTGGAAATATATTGCAATCCCTAATCTTTCTATATACCCCCTGTAATCCCCTCCAGTACCCTAGGGCAGAGTCCTGCACGGGTCTGATTTTCAAGACCCGCTCCCGCCCCGCACCCGCGACGTGCAATACAGAACCCGCCCCGCTACCCGCACATATTGCCAATTAGTTCCGCAACCCCGACCCGACCCGCCGGCACAAGATCCGCAACCCGACCCGAACCCGCATATATATAAGCAGTGAAAACGTGCAATTATTAACACACGCAGTTGCATGTTTGGCTCAAAAAGCCTGGGAGGTTGGTTATTTTCTCCATCTAGGATGACACCAAAAGCCTCCCAGATGTTGGATTTCGCTCTTGAGGAAGAGTTATTGAAAATGCTGTATTCTCCGCTAGAGAGCTTCACCTCAGCCATTCAGAATGTGGCGCGCTCAGCAGCAGATAGATGCGCTGCAGAGGTTATGATTATGCTCGGTCCCGCGGGGGAGAGGTCTGAGGATTTAAACATTAAACTAAATTATTACTATTTAAATATATTTATTATGCAGCACCCGCAACCCGACCCGCATCATCTTTGTTTTACCCAGAACCGAACCCGGAAAAAAGTGAGACCCCTCACTGGTAATCCTGGTCTCCGAGGACGTAGCCCAGCCTCAATAAGCCCCATGGGCCTGCTCCACTGGGGCGTTTTTCCACTAAACGCCCACCATAAAA